GGGGTCGAACAAGGATGGAGCTGGGCTGTTCTCGGTGGGGGCAGATGACAGGACAAGGAGCAATGGGCTCAGACTGGAGTGGGGAAGTTGAGGTTAGATATTCGGAAGAACTTTTTTTACTAGGAGAGTGGTGAAGCACTGGAACAGGTTACCCAGAGAGGTGGTGGAGTCTCCATCCTTGGCGGTTTTTAAGGCAAAGCCTTGGCTGGGATGATCTAGTTGAGGCTGGTCCTGCTTTGAGCAGGGGTTGGACTAGATGTGATCTCCTGAGGTCCCTTCAACCCTCATTTTCTATGATTTTATAGGCCCAACCCCACTATGTTCTGTAGTTATTGAAACCCACTTAATATTTCCTTGGAAGTGCAAGAACTGTTTTCTTGCTTATTCACCCTGTTGCACAAGTTGCAGTGAATTGGCTGGGTCCTCCCATTGCCTGCCTCTTCTTGTTCTAGCCTCTCCCAAAGTGTGCGAAGGGAAGCCCTCTATCCCCAGATTGGGACAAAGGGAGCTTTCTTTGTCAGCTGGGGCCGTGACATGAAGAGAGCCTGTCTCTCCTCAAGGGCATCATGTTTTTGGAAAGCCAAACACAAGTGTAACTAGCATTCAGATCAGGCGATGGAAATCCAAAGGCATACTCAATACTCATGCCTGGGAGACGGGTGTAGGCCAGGCCTCGGGAACTCTGAGCTCCCGTTTAGGTCTTCTGACAGCTCAGGTCCACGATTCTCTACTTCCCACAGTTTTACAACCTTATTATGCAATTAATAATGACATGCTTCTATCTACAACCTAGTTGGGTATATATTAATGAAAGGGATTGTTCATGAAGACCTCCTCCTTGGCTAAGTGACACATTTATGATTTAATACCTAATGAGTGTTTTACTAGGACGGCCTCAGATGTTATCAGTTGGATCCGTCTCGGCAATGAGTGCAATTCGGTGTGGTAATGGGTTTCTATTGCGTTGTTTGTGTGAATCTGGAGTCTGGCTTTACAAGCCTGTTGCTCTGCAAGGTTACCCAAAGTTTGTTGTAACCTGGATAGACGATGTATACAGCGCTTGTGCCAGCGTCTCTCACGTGTTCCTTGCAGTGAATGGTGGAAGCTGTCTCTCTGGCACTGGAGTTTGGATGGGAATTGAGGAGGCTCTTCCAACTTTGACTTCTACAGCTGCTTCCTGGGGGTGTGCGTGCGTGTGTGGGGGGCATGGCTTTACAAAACCCAGCTTGACACATCTTGGGCCTAGATTTTTTCGGAGGTGCTGAGCACCCACCGTTGTTGTTGAGGGCCTGGCTGCTCAGCACTTGTGTGCATCAGGCCCAGGATGTCTCATTTCGAAGACCCCGAAGCCAGTTGCCACTTGGGACATCGTGGGTCACTGATTCCAAGCTGCCTTGATTCCAGGGCTGGCTGAGAGGCTGGGATCCTGGTGTGATTTAATAGTGACTGCAGTCAGAGCCTAGTCCTTGCTTGCACTCACCATAACCATCGAAGAGCTTGTTCAGTGAGGTCACTACTCCTCGGCCACTGAACTCCTTGGCTTGATCTACCAGGGCTTCCTTCAAGGCCTCACAGCTGCAGATGAACACGACCTGTCGTGGGCCCAGGTGCAGTGTGAACACAGGGCCGTACCGCGCTCTCATCTGCGTTCGGAGTCAGTGAAAATGGAAAGAGAGAAAGGTCAGAAGCTGGAGTCATCAGCAAGGTGCAATTAGCCCCTGGCCTCAAGGTAAATGTCATGATAAGCAAGTCAAAGGGCGCGGATAGCGCCCGGCTGAGCAAGACGAGTTTCTTGCGCGCTGCTGACTGTCAGCAGGTGTATGCTGTGTAGAAGCACCGGACATTGGCCTCAGTTCCCAACAGCAAGTTGTTTTGCCAGCCGATGCGCTGGAAATGTTTCAGTCTCTTGCAAGAGTGTAAAGGACAGGTGCTGACTAAGATGCGAGAGAGCGAGTCTGCAGCGGTGAGCTCCCTGGCATGCCTGCCGGCTGATTTGACTCTAAGGTCCTTCACTTCCATTGCTCCAGGCCACCTGTGAACCCAGTCCACTTCCTACAGGATTGGCAAGGAAGTGGCAGGGATCGCAGCCCCTGAGTTTGCCTTGGTCTTGGCACTTTGTCATGACCAAGAATCACCCAGAGACCGGATTCGCAGCCTTGGGCAGAAGTGGCTGACATGAAGCACAGCTGCTGCCTTCCTACCAGGCCTTCAAATGGCTGAGCGGTTTCCTGGGTGGCCTTGCCAGTAGGGATCGAGTAGGGGCTAGCTGATCTGTCCGTGAAGATGAGTTACCCCACCGCGTGAGAGGCCAGGTTCTCGTGGGTATGTTGTCACTGGTGCAGTGACATGTAAAGGGCATTGCGTGCTAGAGAAACTGGATCCAGTGGGTCTGTGTTGATTTATCTTCACTGAATTTACTGTCACCATAAACCGCATTCATTCCTAACCCAATTTCACCATTCATACCAGTGGGCTCAAGGGTCAGCTTATGTCCTGAACGTAGTTAGCAGGCAACCGTTGATCCTTCTGGGTCATGGTGTACACACGTGAGGTCACCCAGACCTTCGATGTGTATGCCTAGGTAGGATTTTTTGGAGGAGTGGAGGCTGCCCAGATTTCTGTTCCCCAAACCAAAACAGCAGGTGACCCTGAATGTAGCTGCTGAGCAAATTCGGCTTTACAGAGAGCAGCGTTGTTCGGAGATGCGTATCCTCATCGCGATGGCAGTGCCCAGAAATAACAGGAGACTTAGGGCCCTGTTGCACCAGCCCTGAACACAGCTGAGATGCAGCTCTGTCCCAGAGACCGTATCGGCTTCGTTTGCAGCTGAGACGGAGAGGGTTGGAGCCCTCGTTCAGCACAGCCCTGCTGTGTGGGTTTAACTTGATAAGTGAGCCAAACTCGCATGCAGGTTTGCTTCTGAGCAGACACAACCGTGTCAGAAACTCTACATGATGGATGCTAGTGTTGTCAATCAGACTGTGACTCATGTAAGCAGGGGATTGGCTAATTACAGAACCTTTTCAAAAACAGGTTATTCATTTGAAGGTGGGAAGATCCCAGTTGGAGCATATTATACAGATGGAGAGCAGCTAAAAAACATTACCCTACGAACACAGTACAGTAACACTCGGTAATTTGCAGCATACGTACCATGCAGCAGGAAGTCCAACCCAAAATACTGTGCAATGTGCAGCTGGGATGGGGCCTGTCGGTATCTAGTTATACTTTTTCTGCTCTCACAAGTGGCTCCAGTGAAGTACAGCAACACCCAGCTACATGACCCTTTTGCTTGGAGTGGGCAGTCCAGATTGCCAGGGTCTCCCAACAGTGAATGAGAGCAGCTGGATGCCTCCCAAGAGTGACCTGTGGTCCTCCGTGCTGACCAGGAAGCTGCCTAGATCTAGCACCTGAACTCGCATCACTCCAGGATCTGGCACCTCTCCTACAGATCTCAAGCACCCAGAGAGGAGGCTCCAGACACCCCCTGCCAATGCAAAACACAGCCCCCATACCTCGAGATCAGGATTGGTACCCAAAAGGTCCTGGGGGACCGAGAGGGCTGGGTTAGCCCTGGCAGCAGGCATTGGGAGGATAGCAGAAGAGCACAACTCACCTTCATCAGTGGCTTCAGCATCCCACTTGCCCTCAGCTGCAGCAGGTTGCCCAACAGTGGCAAAGGGATTGGCCCCGGGGGGAGCTTGCTCCTTGGCCGCCTTTGTTTCCTCTCCCAGAGGAAGACCAGGCACAAAATACAGGCTGTTAGGAAGAGAGTGGCTGCATCTCTGAGCTCCATCGCAGCACACAATGAGAGCAATGCCAAGAGGCAGCTGCTCTGATATATCCGACACTTGGGGGTGTGGGTATATGTACTGGCCTAGTTAGGCAGCAACTTGGTATTAGGAAGTCGCAGGACATGCAGCACCACACATTAATTCTTGATTTGTGAATGATGAGTGCATGTAGCAGAGCATAGGGTGTGCTCTGTTACTAAGGTGGGTGTGAGCAGCAGCAAGACAGCCTACAGCTGGCTACAATCCCGATGAGGCACAACTGCCTGATTGGGGAACAGGCCCCAGCTTTCCCCTATAAGCAAGGCCAGCAGTCTGCTGCCAGCATGGAGGTACACGGGCAGGAGGAGGCTCCAGGTCCCAGCTTTTTGGAAAAAAAAGCCCCGGCTCACGGGGTGCTGTGGGTGGGGGCGATCCCTGCTGCCCCCCACTGCCCCACACCGTGTGGTCCCCTCCCCTGCCCCCTACTTACCAGCTCCAAGTCCAGCTCCAGCTCTCTGCTGCAGCAGGTGGGGACTCCTGGAATCACCGAACCTCTATGAATCTTTTCCGAAGATTCGGAGAACTTTGAATGGATTCAGACCTTTTTATTGGTCCCCTGATTCGATTTGGATTTGGAGATTCGGCCACTGAATCGGGCCGAATCTCCTCCAAATCGAATCGGCACCCAAAGCTTCGCACAACCCTACTTCCCAGCCGGATGGTGTCACTAACCCCTGGTCTGAGGATCCATTGTGTTAAATGCAGGACAGACCCACAGTAAGAGACATTCAGTGTCCTAAGCGCATTCCCATCTACAGGCACAAGGCAGAGAATGATATCCCTGCCGCCTTGAACTGGGACATTTCCAAAACCTGGTCCCAGGCTGCACAGGGCATTTTGGGCAGAGCTGGGAGTGGGATGCAGACCCTTGACATCCCACCCCCATCTAACCACCACCCTTGCTCTCCATGGATAACTGGTCTCTGTGCAGGTTTGGCAATTCAGCACCAGCTCCAGCCTCACTGAAATATAAAGCTAATCACTGTCTTGTTAGCATTTGGCATCCTTAATGGGACTCTGGAGACAGAAAGCAGGAGCAGGGCTCTGTACCTCTGGTCTGTGTAGTTGGACTTTTGTGTGTAGATCTCCAATTGCCTGGTGATCAGCTGCTGACTGAGCAGGTGACCAGTCTCTGTTGAAATCAGGGTGTGCATAGGCATAATATTTTTATTTCATGTCCACCTTACCTTGGACCTCTGGGTATTTCACCAAGAGGAGGAATCCAAATCTCAAGGTGGAGCTCGTTGTCTCTGTCCCAGCAAAGACTAACTGGATTGTTGTCTCCACCAGGTTTCTAGTGTTCATTTCACTCTGTGGGTTTTGCTTCTCCTGGAAAGGAGGGAATGAAAGAACTCACTGTGCATAACGCCCGCCTGCCATATGGTATGCACCTGGATTTGGCCCCTCAACAAAGAACAGCTTTGTTGCCCAGGCTTTGGGTGACTGTCCATACGGGAGGTTTTATTGCGTCTGCTTAAGTTGGTGATTCTAGCCCAGGGATGGGCAATTATTTTGGGCGGAGGACCGCTTACTGAGTTTTGGCAAGCCATCGAGGCCCACATGACAGGCAGCCAGGGGCAGATGAATATTAATTTTCTAGATTTTGTAGGGGCCCCGCATCCGGTCCATGGGCCACGTTTTGCCCACCCCTGTTCTAGCCCTGAGTTCCCTGCCTGCTGCTTCATAGATCAGCCATAGGTGAGCACGCATGGAAAAAATCACAGGCCCACCGTAACATGTAGTGTCTGCGGAGACGCGCTCTTTACCTCTTCCGTCCTGATGAGGAAGGAGTCAATGAAGTCCCGAGGGCAGCTGGGGTCCAGGCTCTGCTGATTTATCCTCACCCTCTCCAGGATGAAATCGTGTAAGGCCCTGTAGTGGCTATAAACCCGGTTGTGTGGGCCGGGTATGTATTTCATGATCCTTGGAAACGTCTCATAGAACTGGAAATGAGGAGAAGGGAGATAGTTCAGTGGACTGGAAACCTCTGCTCTCATTGGAGAATTAGGGGAGACCCTGTTGCATGTCTGCTGCCTTTGCCCACAAGATATTGGCTTCATCCCCTGATGTGCTCTACTGGCACGGTGCAGGTAGGAAGGTAACAGTGCAAGGTCCTCCATCCCTTATTCACTGACTTTTTTGTGGAGGAAGATGGGGCCTCTCTGAGAAGGCAGAATACACAAGGGTTGAGAAACCAGGGACTTTCATGACCGTCTCTTCCTGGATAAGGGGAGCATCCAGAGCAATGGGAGAGAGGCTCTCAGCCTGTTGGAGGCCCCGAGTCCACACTCAGGATAGGGGTTTGGGATGGCTGCAATGTGGACAGGATTTAGGTCCCATTATTCCATTGGCAGAGATGGGAGAGTCTTGCACACGCCCGATCCTCCTTCTGCCCCAGAAACATCACCTACCAGAGTTGAGATCTTGCTCGTATCCAAGAACGCGTTGTTGATGCTGCCCATCAAGTTCAGGAAGTTCTGGTCCTTGTAGTCGAAGCGGTTCCCAAAGACAATGGAGCAGATGACGTTAGCAATCGAGTGTGTGATGGCGAGGGTGGGGTCGAAGGGAGAACCTGGTGGTGGGGAGACAACAGGGTCAGTGACCACCTTTCTTCCAATTTTAGGCCTGTCAAGCTATGCAGACTCTTGGTACCGGGGGGTAAAGTTTAAATTATGAGTCTCCCAAACCTTGGAGGGGAAGGGAGTGACCTGGAAACTTCTGAAGATGTATGTAAGCTTGGGTTTAGCTGGCTCGGATGCAGCTCGCAGTCATGGGTGTTGTGATGAGGACCTTGGCACTGACTGCAAACATTTCGGAGGGTAACATGAGGGGTGAGGTGGCATGGAGCCCTGTCCTATGCACGGCTGTGCTGTTTGGCACACCTGAGAGAGGGAGCTGCGACTGGGGTGTATCTTCCCATGCTGGCATTAGTGCTGGGTATGTGCTCAGAAAGGAAGAAGTTGTGAGCTGCTGGAAGAAGTTCCCCAGGGTATGAAGGTCCTCAAGGACCAGGGCCCAGCAGTGCTGGCAGGCTGGTCTGGATTTTGAGAAGATCCTGGTATTTCCAGGGTGTCCTCTTGGAGAACTCCCCTGGCAGTGACGGGAGCTGCTGGGCTCTGAGGACTTGGACAAACCTAGACTCCTCCTTGAGACCTGGAGTTGGGAGTGGAGCTCCTTGGAAAGCAGCTCTCTCAGGTATTTTATTATCGATGCCCCTTAACCAGAACCAGACAAGAAGCATTTGAATTCACACCCCAAAAGCAGTGGAGAAAGCACCAACCTTTGGTTTTCCCCATTTCCTCTACCAGGTACTGAGATTCTTCCTGGATCTGCTCCTCAATGCTTTTTTTCCCCATCCCAAAATTCCTCAGGGTTGAGGTGCAGAATCGCCGGAGCTGCTTCCACCGTTCTCCATTAGCCATGGCGACACCTGGATGGA